GTGGGACGTGGGGGACGGGGACAGGTTAGGGAGAATATGTTGAAAGGAAAACGAACAATAAGATATGCTGGTAGTAAGCGAGATGACAAACGGAGAAAAAAAGAAAATTATATCGGGTTTTTTTGTGCAGAAATAAAACAAATGATAATATAAACTTGATGCAGGTGTTAGGTTTGAGTACCAAACAACTCCTACATTGAATTGGTGTGAATGAAGTAAAACCATATATTGATGGTTATTTCGACCAAATGAGTTGCGACCTCAGCGGCTGTTTGATATCAAAATTTCTCAATAGGTTCTTAGGATATTGTTGTTTGAAGTTTTTCACATAGTTGAGCCCCGTGACCTTGAAACTAGGGATCAGCTGCAATACTCTCAATTAAAAATATACTGTATATTACTGTGTATGACAGTCAATTTATTTGTTTTCAACTTAACAAATTATTTTAAAGGTTGCGATTTTTCAATTTAACGCTCAACAGCAAAAAATATGTAATATGTAACTACATTTCATCATTTTGATTGATATGATCTATGAGGAGAATACTTGAATTTTGGAACCAGGCGAAATTGAATTCTATTCAATATGAAAACAAACCAATATGAAATTATATTATAGTGATAATTTCAATTGTATTCCTGATTAATCAAGACATAGACAAAAAAGGATGAATATTCTCCTGCATTTACATGCAGTTACCGTTGTGCCAACACAACTTCAACAACCCAGGTGAAGTATAAAATGATCTGGGGTGGATGTTGCGGTATCTGTTCTGTAGCATTCAAGTGAGGTGGCACTATAAATGATGTCGTTGGAAGCAAGGTCCCACTACAAACAGAACACATTACATCTGCAGCACACACGCAAGCATACACACATGAGGCAGCTCCTGTGAATTCCTCAAAATTGTATTGATTAATGTATATGCAAAGCGCTTTAGGATGTCTTATTCTAGCCAGATATGGCGCTTTATCAAATGTTATATATTATTTATTTATTATTTATTTACATAGCTTTTCGTGGATTTCTGCAGTGTAAGCAAGAAGCTGTGTTCAAAAATTACTTAAATATCTTTCTTAAAAGGACGCTACGTCAATTGTCGGTTTAAAACCGGAAATGGTCATTTGTTTACCTGTCGAAACTGAAGTGTAGTATTGCTATAAGTTATAGACAGCATTCCTGAAAAAAGTATGTCCCTTTATCAGAATACTTCATTCTGTCTGTTCCCCTGCATGAAAGTGACTATTATTTAGAACTCCAGTAAACTTTCCCTCTGTTTAGCGTATACGCATGCGTATTACTGTAAATATGAAATCTTTGTATATAACATATCTCCGTTTATCCAGAGACGTACGTACTATACAGTAAAACCTCGTTATATCGCCACCTTCTGTCCTCTGTGAGTTTGGCGGTACATGTATAACGAGTTTGGCGTTATCGGGTTTACCGTTTTGTACCTAAGTGTCCACGTGTATACTACGTCTCTGGTTTACCATTGTAAATCAAACCGTGTTGAAATATAATGTAAATAAAAAGTCAATATTTCGGTCTATGCCCCAGTAAATACAATAAACAAAAGAATCTACAGTCTTAACATAGCTTACAGGCGAACACAGGACTGACCACTGGGTTTTGATGACCTGTCATTACTAGGTTGTCTTTAGGGCAAACGCGTACGGCTTTACCTGTACTAGAGATATCGGTCATTATTTCATCTACTGCTATTTATATCCTGCCTTGCCTGCGTTAAATCAAAGGTCCAGTGTTTTGTTAAATTTCATATATAAAGATTTTTTTCGAAAACATCAAATTGCTATGATGTGAAAAAATATTCTCGTTTACGGAAAGTGCCGATTGGATACTACGGGCAGTCACCTGTACAATTTTAAGTACGTTCCTGGACATTTTAGCAATTAATTTCTATAAAATAGGAGCGAGGGAGAAAAAACCCCAAAGAACACATTGAGACAAGTGAAGTTTTGATAGAAATGTTTAAACAGACATACAAATTAGCATAGCTACAGGCCTAAACGGATTAGCCGTATGAGCAGATCACTTGAATAAAAACCTGTTGATTTAATTACTTGTGACTGAGGCATAACTGTCCCTTCTCTTTCCTTGCTCCTTCCTTCTTTTCAAAATCTATTGATCATTATCGTCGATTTAGACGATAACTAAAGCATATATTTATTATTCACGGCAGATTTGACCTGGTAATCAATTTGTTAAACAATTGCCCTATATGTTTGTAATACTTTTTTTCTCTCTCAACAAATAAGTTAAAATCACATTCAGAACTGTTTATCTATAGCTACACGTGAACAAAACATAATACATGGGTGATAGTTTTAACTTTGACAATAAACGTTATCCATAAATTTGCCTTGCCCATTTACAGAGATTCACCACAAGGGAGATAACTCGAATTTACCGCACTATTCGCATTGCTCGGCATTGGAAACTATTTAGCTTAAGATTATGCATTGGCAATTTCTTTCTTTCAGACAGCACTTAATTCAGGAGGGAAGCAATGTATCGGCTGTTTGAGAATGCGACCGAAATTGAGGAGCCACTGCAGGGAAATGTGACAGGTAACCTATTTCTCACATCCCAGGAATTTATATCACTTTAATGCCCCGTTCTAGATCTTTTTCTGTTTCTTTCAATGTGTCTGTCACCTTGTTGCGACAATATTTAGCACTTTTTTTTTACACCGATGCTGTATTCATCAGCTCGCTCCACTTAAATTAACAAAATAGCTCACAACTAAAATATTCAATTTTGGTGGTAAATATATTGTTTATATTTTATGATGAAAAGAATCCCTGTCCCATTGCACTGTGTTTTTTCCTACATATAGAGTAGTCTCCCGCTTAACTTCCGATTGGATGCTGTAGCTCGTTTGGGCAAGGGCACTCCAGTTGACCAGGTAGCTCAATCGGTGTGAACGATAGTTATTCATTGTTTTTCCTTAAATTAATGAAAAATTACATTTTGTCCGTGATTTGGAAGAATTTCAGAGAAAGACTTCAAGCCAAATAAAAAAATAAATAAAAAAAAGGAAATAAATCTGAAAACCAAGGTTCGAAACCCCGCTGATTTTTTACGCTCAGAACACTCTTGCTGATTATATTTTGTTTATTTCATCTTTATCGTTTCTCTTAAAAATCCCGCAAAATATGGTTTTCATTTTAGGAATCATGTAGAAAAGCTATAATCATGCAGAAAATAAATGCCAGCACTTAGTTACATTTTACGCAGTGGTACGTGGATCCTTAAAACAAATGACTATACATGATATACATTCACGGAGGGCCGTATAGACGGTGTCATCCTGATAATCTGATGGAAAAAAGGAAAATTTTACTAAAATAGTCTTTAATATGGCTGAGTTTGAACATTTGTCACTTACCAGTTTAGAACTGCCAGTTAAATTTACCACTGGAAGTTCCATGTTCAAATAATGTTTTTGGTCGTTAATGTTACACAGACAACAAACCACCATGTGTGCTGGGTATTCAGAAAGAGGCTTTTATTAGGGCCGCTTAGGCCCAAGTACTGGTGTGTCGCTTAGGACATTGATAATTTATGATGATGTTACAGCATACCCCGTTGAATTTAAGAAGACAGAATAAATGAAACTATATTCGTTAAATGACACAAACTTTCTTCTTTGAAGGTTGTCTTCCAGAGTGGCTAAGTGGCTCCTTGTACCGCAATGGACCTGGGATGTACGAGGTCGGAGAAGAGAAAATGCTTCACTGGTTTGACGGAATGGCGTGTTTGCAGCGCTTCGAAATCCGCAACGGTAGCGCCACCTATATGCGGAAATACATACAGAGCGACACCTACCATCAGAACCTCAGCATGAACAGGATTGTCAATACTGAGTTCGGCACCTATGCAGATTATGTCGATCCATGTAAAAAGATTTACGAAAAGTAAGTGTTCGCCTACAACTAGTTTCCTTTAGCACCCAACATAAATCCCTTCCATCCTATACAGTCACTTCCGGTACTCTTGCACTTCAGGCACAACGTTATCTATGTAGCCTTGCTCAAGTTCTGTAAATTTTTGAAAAATACGGGTTGGTAGGCAAATCGATTGACAAAATCTATTGTAAGGGACAGAGGTTCTATACATGGCATACTAATGAGGTAATGCGATCTAAAGCATGCGTTAAATAACGATTGTGGACTTTACGAAATGGGTAGGGGTTGGTGTATGTGGTGATCTGGTGTCGCCAATTGAAACTGAAAACTGTATATGGGTTTTTTTTGTCTCTTTCATTTTGGCAGTGCCTCCCTAGGCACATCTGGTAAACCCTTTGGCAGACTAGTTTGACAAGATAGCGTGTAATTCTACCTTGTCTAGGACACGACATTTTAATAACATCACAATTTAAGTTGGCCCATGCTATCATCTTATATATGCAAATCCTTAAAGTTTTTCTCCTTTCTGACCATTTTCTCTTTTTTCCCGTATACCTCATTTTTAGACACGTCCTTCAATGCCCTTAGCTATAAATAGGACGCGAATCTCAAAAAAACAAAGAGTAACACTATTTTTCAAGTATTGCCAACGAACTTCGGGGTTCACATTCATGAAACCGTTCTCATGCTCAAACTCAGATTCTGTGTTCCTGCCTAGATTTGGAAGAATTTCGGAGAAAGACTTCAAGCCGAATAACAATAAAATAAAAAAGGGAAATAAAGCAAGGCAAAAGAAAGTTGGTTTGAGCACAGAATCCATGCTTTATCATGAGAACGGTTTTATAAATACAGGCCCAGGAGTAAGTTAAAGGTCAGAATTAACTCACAAAATGGTATGAAGGTAAACCTACAATAAAAGATTGTCATGAACTGGGTATTTTGTTTAAGCACGTAAAACAAAACATAAACGAATATGTTATTTCACAATGACCAAATTATCCAAAATACGCCTTCTTGGATTGGGAGTGGCGAAAATTAGCGCCGCGCAAAATGCGTGATATATTTATATTAACCTATAATAAATATACCAATTTTTTTCTTTTATTTACAATGAAATCCTTATATGCCAGGATCAACACGTACTATATTCCTAAAACGGACAACACATCGGTCACTGTCTGGCCACTGGGTGACCGGATGTACGTCAGCTCTGAAACCAACGTTAGTAATGAGGTCGACCCGGACACGCTAGAAACCATTGGCAAGGTTCGTAATTGTATAAAATTGTATTGAATCGATTTGGTTTATTTGTTGGAAAATAAGATACAGAGATAAAATAAAATCTATAAGTGCGACAAACAAAGTAGACGTTTACGCGGTTTGTTTGGCGACTGCTGATAGAAAGATCTACGGAGCACGCGAAGGGACATACGGAGTGATAAGTCGTGCGCAAGGGATGGTAACCCTAGCGCAAGGATAAGTAAATTCATTTCCATGTCCCTTCGCGTGCTTCATAAGAACTCGATATCACCGTCAGTACAATAGTTTGTGTCACTGAATAAAAGTTTTCACACGACTACCTTCCTATTTTCTGTTGGCACATCATTAACCCTTCCACCACTGCAGACCATAATGGACTCATCCAGATCTACAAAGGGTTAAAAGGGTTTAGTGGCCTTCGGTGTTGATAGGGCGTTAGACCCTGCACAGCCAACATTTTATACCGGAACCTCCATACTTCAGGGGTTATGCTCACTTTCGCCCACCGTACCCCTGGAATATGTCATAGCAAAGTTGAAGGCACAAAGACATTTGTTTGATTGGTCTCAGGTACGAAAACCTGACCAATCGCTAGGCTGATACCCGTCTTTTTAAGATTACAAAGGAGCGACACCCGACTTCAAAGCCTGTCAGTTTTTACCGTTACGCGACTGCAAGTTTCTTTTGATGTACATCAAAGGATTGAACTAGTCTTCTTGTCTCATCAACAAGGTGGCGCACACTGAGCCATAAATTTTGCTAAGACATCTTCCAGGATGCAGAGAGCGAAAGTGAGCGTAACCCCTGGAGTATCGAGGGTGCTAAATACATCTTTCAAAGAGGGACAACTTATAATCCAATTTACACGGAGGCTAGTTTTTGAGTATTTAGCGTAAACTTCATTCACAGACCCCGGAACAAGAAACAATCTTACATTTAATGTCGATTTTCATTTATTTATAAAAGAAATAATCCGTTTGAAAATCAGGCCAAATGTTGAGAGAAATAAGATATATTTGCTATGACAGCTGATGTACATTTTTTGTCATGGCAATCCGACTTCTCACTTGATGCCAACTGAGAGGTCGCAGAAATATAAAAGATATCTTTAAATGTAAAAGAGAGATATTGAAATTATTTTAAAATATCTATGATTTCGTTAAATTTCGTTGATTCGAATGATTTATCTTTAAATGCAATAGAGATATCTCATATACTTGGGACCTACAGTGTATTAATTTTAAGATATCTCATAAATTGATAAACACATCACGTTTCTGTATTGTATGTTAAATACGATTGCCATGATTTTTATATAAAACATTTTTTTAATTTAGCACATTCCGATTTAGACTTATATCTTAATTGTTTCTTGAGCGTGAATGTCCCGCCAATAAATCATGTACTGATACGTACACTTTATTCACAATAAAAATAATCGTAGAGTTCTGAATCCACGTCTAAGTATATTTTTCAGCTATATGAATAATATCTTCTTGGTACAGCTTGACATCAGTAAATCTTTAAAATTGGATGCCGCCGCTGCGCATGCTCACTGGGAGACGGATGGTACGGTCCATTTCATTGGCTACACTTACACGGCTCATCCTTGCTACTGTCTCTACAAAGTGCCAGGCCGACCAGGTAAGAATTTTTACATCAAATCTTTCAACGACATGTACTTTTTTTGTATTCACGTGTTAAGAAGTTTCATTTGCGGAAAAATATAGTGAATAGACTAATTAAAACAATTCGCCTAGCGCTTGTATACACTAATAATCACGCTTCAGAGATAACGAAAACCTCATTTTTGTGTAACTTAAATTTTTACGAATCTATTTCTTTCTGCCGACAAAAGGTTGGTTCTCCAAAGTTTCAAATAGCTTTTGCGGGTAATATATGAAACAAATATGGCGATTTCGTTATATGTAGGCGAGTCTTAATTATATGATATCAAAGTTTTACTTTCTACACAAACAATGTATATATCAACGTTTCAAGACCGACTGGTGCTAAGTCATAGCTTGGCAAAGGGATCAGTCGTTCTTGAAACGTTGCGTACATTGTTTGTGTAGAAAGTAAACTTTGATATCACATATTTCAAAACTGATCTCACTAAAGACGAGTTTTAAACTTCAAAATATAACGATGTATGTAACAAAATTCGGGATTTCCATGTCTTACCATGTTTAAATCAGTTTTCTTTGTTAATCGTTGCTATACCACGTATTGATAGGTGGCGCTATGGACATCAGTGAAGCCCGCGTGATGTCATCAATTAAGTGCAAATGGCCATTGTTTCCATCCTATTACCACAGTTTCGCCATGACGAAGAACTTCTACGTTTTCATTGAGCAGCCGTTCGTACTGAATCTAGCTAAGGTTGTCAACATGGTTAAAACTAAAAATGCCATTATCGATTGTATGGATTTTCGTCCAATGAATAAGGTCAGTTATACACTAACTTACTCATCAGTGAACTGTGTTCGAGTTATCTCCCTTTAAGAGTTCCTCCAAATTAAATTATATCATTACTTTTATCAGTTATTATCAGGATGTATTTGTTCGATTCCTTGTCAACTGAAGCATCCTATATAAATCATATATCCCAATGCATTTCATAGAATAATGGCGGATTTAATTCAAGTATTTGTAAAAAGAAAGAAAGAAAAACTAAGAAAGGGAAAACAAAACAAAAACTACATTTATCGAATCTGAGAATTACATTTTTTGCCAATTTCACACCTTATCAATATTCCTATGCAGAAGTTAAAAATGCACATCATAAAAATGAAAGACGTCAACCTTGACAAAGGGAGGTTACTCAATACCAGAAAAGAAACTTATTTCACTACTGCATATCACAGAAAAGGTTATATCTATCTTTGATTCCGATATCACGTACATTCAAATTCAAAGAGACTTTTTGAGTAGTAACTAATTACGGACTTTGAACATTCAATTTTTCCCCATGCTTCCAAACAAACAAAGGTTTTGCTCTTGATTTGAACTTTGTCAGTCTACTGCACACGTGGGTGATCGATTCTATGAGTAAGTATTGTCTATTCATTTGATTTGCAGACCGTCTTTCACATCGTGGACAGACACACAGGACTGGAAATTAACGGCGACTTCGTTTATCAGACAGATCCCATGTTTTTCTTCCACCATGCCAATATGTACCAGGAGGGAAGTGAGTTCAAAGCTTTTACCAATATTTAAATCTGTATTTGTCTTTCGCAACAGATGAATTTTTCTTTCGCACCTCATTAGTTAAGAAAAAAATAAAGTTTACCATAGTAACAAATACCCCGTCTAGGGCCTTGATTTTGTATAATGTTTCTGCACTCTACTAAAGTTACGTTTCATGCTTCGGTGCATTCCCGATACTCCAGGGGTTACACTCACTTCCGCTATCTGTACCCCTGGAATATGTCATAGCAAAATTGAAGGCTCAGTGTGTGCCAGCTTGTTAATAAGACAACAAGACTGGTTGTGTACTTTGACATACATCAAAATAATCTCGCGGTCGCGTAACGGTAAAATTATCTGTTTTTGAAGTTGGGTGTCGCTCCTCTGTAATCTTTGTAAGCGGAAATTGGCCTAGCGATTGGTCAGGTTTTTTTTTGTTTTTTTTTACCTAAGACCAATTAAATAGCTACCTGCATGCATTCAGTATTGCTATGCCATATCCCTGGGGGGGGGGGGGGGGGGGGGGGGGGGGGGGGGAAAGAGTGAAAGTGGAATATTATATAGCAATGCCAGATCATTTATATCGACAATGGGAGTCGTGCTTCGCTGTCGTGTTAGCGAGCGGATACATACTGCGCCAAATTTTCAATGTCATGTCCCGTACCGAAAAAATCTAGCACGTGATATAACATTTCTATTTCAAATGTAAGAAAAGGTTTTTTTACATAGAGGTTCTACATGGGACGTGTAGATATCGGAGCAATATGTTTTTTACAGCAACACGTGACTTCTTTTCCTTTCCTACAAACGCAGGTATGTGAGAAATACTATATTTTGTTACTTAGTTTCATTAATTCATACATTCATTTATGCATCCATTTATTCATTTCAGGTAATCTCGTACTTGACCTTTGCTCGTTCAGAGACGCCCGAATTCTCAAACTATTATATCTAAAAGATCTGGAGAAGGAAACGTTCCAGGACACAAAGTCATGTGAGGAAATTAAGACCTGTCGACTCCGACGATTTGTACTTCCCCTTAACGTCTCAAAGGAGGTAAGCCGTAAATAGGATGGATTTAAGTAACATAATATATTTTCCGGATATTTTAGTCCACGTTCTTTACCGTATTCGATTTTTATTAGTCACGCCATAAATGGTAACTCAATAGTTTAAAGGCAATAAATAGTCACTACCAATCTTTTCCTCTCAATGGCGGGTTGTGTTATCACTATTTTGGAACTTTAACGCAACAGTAGCTAACTATGTCATTTTTGCACAAAGCAGTATCGAACTTGAAATACTAAATGACCAAAGGAGTCAGCATCACGAAAACTGCCTCTCATTTTGATATTCGGATTCTTACGCAAAATCGCAGATTAGTATGTTAAATCTGTTTTACAATCGGGATCCGTCGACACTTTCCGTAAACGACTCGTTTTCGAAAAGTGCCGACGATTACCGATTGTCTTTTTTAGTACAATAGTTTCAAGTCGTTTACGGTGATGGCATCCTCAATACTCCAGGGGTTACGCTCAATTTCGCTCTCTGCACCGCTGGAATATGTCATAGCAAAATGAAGAAACGCGGCTAGTTATTTGATTGGTCTCAGGTTAAAAAAAACATGACCAATGGCTAAAGCTGATACCTTTCATTGAAGATTACAGAGGAATGACACCCGACTTCAAAGCCAGTAAATTGTAGTGTTACGCGACCGACAAATTCTTTTGATGTACATCAAAGGATCAAACTAAATTTCTCGTCTCATCCACAAGGTGGATGACATTCGGCCTTCGATTTTGCGATGACATATTCCAGGGGTGCAGAGAGTGAAACTGAGCATAAACCCTGGAGTATCGAGGATGCGATGATGGAAAATAATTTATTCTATTGGTTTATTGATTATTTATTTTTCACCTTCCAATGTCAATTTGAGTTCAACAATGTAAAACTGAACAGTATGTACGAAATTAAAAATGAATCTCTAAACAAAACAAAAATGGTACAATTTACAAAAAAGGCAGTAAGTTGACTTCCATATTCAAATCAGTCTAACTAGGGTTCTCATAAAAACGTGTGTCGTTAATACATCTACATGTATTTACTAAAAGGTATTGCATAGCTTCAGTTGAATCACGTATGCATTCTATCATAAAACGATTGGCAGAAAGGTCTCATGAGTGAAACGTTGGCGCATTATTATTACACGTATAATAGTTTTGGTTTTGGTTTGTTTAAACAAATTATAAGTTTATATTTTGGTTTTGGTTTGTTTAAACATTTAACAAACATTTAACATGCTATTAACATTTAAGCTCATTAACTTAAGCTATAACAGCCGTTTGCAAACATCAAAATCTGGGGAGACGGAGTCATTTTGGCTTCATAGAGAAAATATCAACTGATTCAAACATTATGGAAGCAATCGACAAGGCATATCATTGTCGGCTAATAAACTAATCATGAAAATGACATTTTTTTTGTACCGAATCGACACAAATGAAACTTTTCGGAAAGAAAATTCAGTTATGAGTAGCATGAATCAAGGACGTATTCTTGGTCCCGTGCCTTTGGTAATTTACATGATTGAAAGGCAAATATCAAGGAAATATGCTTGGCCTTTATGTTTGTTGTGACATGCATCTTATGTATCAGAATAACCATTCGTGAGAGGTTTATTTACGTTTTCCCTCTCTTCTCGACTTTACACAAAGTCTCGCAAAAATTTGATGATCTACAGTATAGAAACAACGGAAACTGGTCCATATCGAATTGATAGAAATACTAAGTAACTGCATAGGTGATTTAACAATTTTGATTATACTCAATCCATGAGTTCATAATATAGCTGAATGTTGCGAAAGTTATTTCAATTTGTTTTTATTTTCTTAAGACACCTCTAAATGAAAGTCTTCTACACCGCCCGGGATGTAGTGCAACTGCCGTCCGGAAAACGGAGAAAAACATTTTCCTGACCAGCGAACAAATGCACAATGAAGGTATGTATGTCCCCATCTCACATTTTAAGGATCCTTTGTCCCTGTTCAGGCAAACACGAGAGGATTCCACTTTGGTTTTTGTGCAGACAGTAATTCTCTCTTACTTTCGTTTTGAATGCATTTGTAGCGCTCAGATTGTAAAAGCGACAGTGTAATGATCAGATGTCGAAGTTTCGAATCCAGGTCTGGTTTCCTTGCGTTTTTTCTCCATTGTTGTAGATTCTTTTGTTATACAAGGTCCGCACGGTATGGTTATCTTCAGTAAAGCTTAAGTCATATCAGAGCAACTGGTTCATATGGATAGAAACGGTTCTTAAGATACTTAATAGTTTGGTTTATATAAACAGATGGGATGATTTTAGGACCCCTACTTTGAGTATATTATATCTGTCCTTCTAAAGATATTTGTTATTTATGGTTTAAAAAGATCGATCTGAAGAGCCCTGTGAAGGGTGAAAGCTGCTAGTTTTGTAGTCGGTCGTTACATATGATTTTGTTGTTGCGTTTTTATATATTAAGCTCATTCGAAATTTCGCGAGTTAGCCTGAAGAGACATGTGAAGGGTGAAAGCTGCCAGTTTTGTAGTCGGTCGTTATATCTTATTTTTTGTTATTTATATATATTAAGCACATTCGAAATTTCGCGAGTTGGCCATGTCTTTATATTTTCGAGGACATTAATTTACGTCTCACACATCTGTTATCGCTGTATATGTCAAGTGACGATTACACGTTACCTATTCGATTCTATCATAACCCCATGCACGTGTTTTCATCTCCCTCATTTTATCATTCTATCATTCTCTTCTGTAATGATCAGCAACATTAACAGTTCTGAAATATAAGGCATTTAACATATGAACGAGAACAAACGAACAAGAGAGCATAGTCTTTGACTTAAAAAAGGAATGTCTTAATTGAACTTAAGAAAGTACTCCTTTAAAGAAAGAGTGGTCAAACATTGGAATTCCCTGCCAAATCACGTCGTCACATCACCGACAATAAAAACGTTTAAAGCCCGCCTGGGTAAGCACTGGGGACAACCAGAATGTTTTTTCATGGAATTGACAATAATGAACTTATTCTCTGCCGGGGCGTCAGCCTAGATGATGACCATACATATGATCTGGATATATAGGCTTTTTCCTGCGTCCAGCATTATCATATAATTATTATTACTATCTAAGAGGATACAACTCGTAGTCTTATTGGTAATGAAAGAAAAGATGTGTTTCACCATCGATGATGTATAATGTTTAATACTTAACACACTGTACTTACGCGAGAAAATCATTCTTTTGAAAATAAAGATATCACTATAGCTATCCCATTATTCTTTTCCACAGGATTCGAATTCCCTCAGATCAACTACGGCAAGTACAACGGGAAGAAATACCGACATCTGTACGGCTATAGTGTGTTCAAATCCGGTCAACAGGCGGTGAGTATATATTTATAGTACATCTTGTAGAACAATAAACGTATCATTGTTGCCATAAACAAAAAGAATTTAAAAAATTCATTATCTGCATAAAAAGAGCTAGGACTTTTCCTGGGGTTGTTCCCTGTGGAATCAGAGAAAACTATAAATCGGCATGGTCGTATACATCTTCTAAGTTTGTTTGTTTGTTTGTTTGATTTTGTTTAACGTCCTATTAACAGCTAAGGTCATTTAAGGACGGCCTCCCCTGTGTGCAAGATGCATGCGTGTAGTGTATGTGTGTGTATTTTGGGAGGCTGCGATATGTTCGTGTTTGTCTCCTTGTGATAGCGCGGAACTGATGCCGACTTTATAGTGCTACCTCACTGAAACATACTGCCGAAGACACCCAGCAGGACGCCCCACCCGGTCACATTATACTGACAACGGGCGAACCAGTCGTCCCACTCCTAATTTGCTGAGCGTTAAGCAGGAGTAGAAACTNGCCAAAAGTGAGGCATTGTCAAGGGAGACATTAGGAAGAAGAAAGTTATCTAGAAAGGAGAGAAGAGATAAGGTCCCAAATTTAGTCGCCTCTTACGATCATGCAATTGGGGGCAGCAGGTACAATTCTTACGCCCTACCTGCAGGGTCACATCTTCTAAGATAAGGGGGCCTCATCTTCTAAGATACGGCCCCCTAGCTGCATTGCAATTATCCCTTTGTGTTCTCCGCTTAGGGATATTAAAGCTACCGGGACTGATCTGCTGTACGCATTGCTATACATAATTGTTTATTACTTGATATAAACCTTCCATGGCGCACTTCATATTACCGTTTTCTACACTTAATAGCATTGTATAGACCATTTTGTGGATTGACCATTAGCGTTTTGGTACTGATGTTATTAGTATGCAGTATGGAATGCATGTTATACTTATACTGTTATAATAATAGAACATTTGTCATCTTGTAGGACATCCATAGAGTGTGTTACGTGGGGGCTGTCCCGATCACTTGTTTGGGCCAATTTATTGATATATGACATATCATAATTGTTTTAACAATATTTTATAAAAGATAATTGATCCCTGCTATGTAACTTCATGCTTTTATGTCATGAAACTGTATTCTTTTTAAATACATCAATATACAATTGTGATATATGACACTCAAATAAACAATATAGACTTGTTAAAGTAACAAGGTTGAACTTAATCTTTTCTCTAGTTTTTGTACAGATAATTCAAGATATTATCTTCAAACATTAAGCAAAAGTAATTTTAAGAACATGTTACCCTTCTGGTGAATTTGACTGCACCTCTGGGGTTTTCAGGTTTGATGACGTCTTACATCCTTTTTGCTATGAGGGCTCTTGAATTCATGTTGTTGTTCTGTACATACTTTTGGGCTTTTTGTAAAGACTTTAGTTTTAAATTTTAAATTTCAATAAATTTAAGCCCTCTCCAAACACAGTAACAAACAGTGGTACAAGCATAGACATAGACATTAGAACACATCCAAACATATATAAACAAGTTGGTATTATCAAATAAATAATCAAATTAAGTTTTCATTACTGCTTCCGACATATTTCTAGTGATATTTTTTGCATTTTTTTTTATTTTGATTTCATTCTTATTTGTTAACACTACGATTAATTCTTTTAATTTTATTAAAGGGTACATTTTCTGCTCTTCTTTCACCGTCACGATACCACAGAATTTTCTTCATAATTCCTCAGGTTAACGCACGTAATTACTATGGTATAAAGTGTATATATCAACGAATGCAGCAGATGTCAAATTTTCATATAAATTTCCTTATTGTGTTCATTTTTCATTTTGAGTCTAATTAATTATATTATACCTTTTTCAAACAGTTGGTTAAGATAGATATGCAAACCAAGGAAAGCCAATCGTGGAGTGAAGGGGCCTGTCACCCTTCGGAACCCATCTTCGTTCCACGTCCAGGTGGCAAAGAGGAGGACGACGGTGAGTTATTAAACTCTTTCCCATTTTCCCCTTTACCCTTCGTTCAGGGTTTGGACATTTTCGTCATTGGAAGATTGCATCTAAGGAATAAAATAAATGTCAATTTAAGTTTTCATATTATTTTGATAACCAGATATTTACGATAATACCGTTTAGAGAGACATACTCGATTCTTTCAATTGTCTTCCGGTCTTTCTTCAACTTTATAATACAGGCAAATTCTTTTGGAGAATTGCTGAGTTTAATTTGTTATATAAAAATGTCTGGGTACTGAGTTTCAAGATTAAATGTTCTCAAATGACAACTTCTATGTTGCACTTATTGTGTCAGTCAAAGGTTATTTTGAAAATACAACCAAAAACTATCTAATTTCTTGTATGATTAAAACTTGCCTAACGGGCCCACAATAATGTTTGTATACTATTGAACGTTCAAATTTGGCCTTTCATCTAGAAAATATATGTAGATAATTTTCCATTTTGCTAGTAAAAGGAATCAAATATTATAGTTTTGCATCTTTTGTAACAATTTATATTTTATATTTCAGGAGTTTTGTTGTCTGCAATCAATTCTAACACAGAGGGTAAATACGCCTTTTTGTTAATTCTGGACGCGAAGACATTCACTGAGTGTGCCCGAGTGGAGTTTCCGGATATCCGGTTTCTGCGGGACTTACATGGTCTATTTAGACCACATTAATGCTGATTGTTGAATGCTGTTGATATCACACTATTCCTATCTTAGTGAAATGTGTCATTCAACAACTTTTGATCTCTATTCAGAGACAGACTTGGCTATATCGCAATCGCTAGGACCATGTAAAACCTCCAGATCAAAACTATGATCTAGCTTTCATTCATTCCTTACAAATGGTTGACAGTCAGTCCCTCGATGTTTGCCATTGGTTTATAGCTGGCATTTATTCTAACGAGGTATACATGATTAAATAACTTATAAATTACTAATCTGTTTTAGTCAATGGCTGTAAATGTGAAACGTTATAAAGTCTTTGGTGTATACCATTTTTCCTTTAGCTTTAGTTTTACATACGTTTTTGACCAATTTAGATGCATGTATTTGTTTTCATTACTTTAACCTTAAGTACTACTGCAGAGTCACCAATGGTACCTACTGGTCCAGTTCCTAAGAAGAAGTCGTTCAAAGACTTGGCTTCCCGCATCGCTTTATGTGCTTCTTTACCTCGGGTATTTAGATTATTATATTTACTTGTGTCCGATTTTGTATATGTGTCAGAAGAATTTGTGATTTGCTTCCTGCACTTACGGTGTATTTTCATATCGATACTAATATCAATAATGATATTTATTCAGGACGCGGCATACACAACAAAACAATTTCATATATGAAGGTAATTTACAAATTTGATATCTATAAGTAACATATTTTGCTCTGCCTTGGGACAGTCCATCAAAGCCATAGAAAGCTTATTTTCAATGGGGTTCCATATATGTATTAATGTATCATAATGAATTAAGTATTCTAAAAGCATCATGCAGAGTGCACTTACTATTGCTTAAACAGAGTAAATTATGAGACCATTGGTTATCAAGAATTTCAACAAGTATAAGTAGAATATCAATAAATAAATTCTAAAACCATTGAATATTTAGAAGCTAATTTTGAATCTCAAACGGATCCCCATATTATAATATTTTTGTCACGAAACGAGTTGCAACAAGTTTCACAAAATTCAGACTGATTGGTTTCTTTTCTCAACCACATATTCAGACGTGGAATGAGAAGAACATTGAAATAGCTTCATACATTGCATTTTCGTGGTTTTTTTAATATATTTGTGTTGTTCAATGGGTGGTAGAAATGTTTTTATGCATATCAAATACATATACAAAAATGCTAGTAAAAACAAAACCTGATAATATATTGTACACAGTTTTAAATACTTTTTATTGAATGAAAAATCAACACATTCCATCCTTTTGTTCTAGTCAATAGCATTAAGTTTGATTACATGATGTCTGAGTGTCTGTAGTCAATACCTTAAAAATTTCGATTTTAAGTGTTCCAATGTTCTTTGTACTTTCATGACATAAATAAAAGTATTTGTCATTCTGGTTAAATACTAGCTGCTTCCTACCAACTAGTATTGAGCTTATTCGGTAGAATAAAAACCTATCAAACGAGAAGCTTCGTGTTCGACTCCTAGCCAAGGCATTGAAAACATAATGACCTCTGCTTTAGCGAATGGTGTTTTATGGTCCTGCAAAACTTGTGAAAATTGCTGACAAACTTAAGGTATAGGATACTACCAACATTATTACCGTTATTAGTATTGTGAAATATTTGTTTTCCTTTTTAAAAGAAGTAATCTATAAACATCCATATATTGCGATGTATTTTGCAGAATTATAGTTGTTCGAAATTTAAATGTGGAAAAAAACACCCTGAAAATTTGGTGGTCATAGTCAGGACCTTTACATTTCATATCCTACCTCTAACAAATGTTGTCATACAAGAACATACCAAATAAAGTGCGCTCGACATGCCTGTGTTTATTTGAGCTTTGACATATATAAAATCACGTTTATTAGAGATCTATTTTTGATTCAATCTCATTCAATAAAGAGTTGAACCTCGCTTGCTGTTCGGCCATACTTGTAGGTGTAAGTGGTGTAGAATAATTCAGAAAACCCAACAAACATAACATTATATATCAAAACTATTTGCCAAAAAATGACTGAACATGACAAAAAGCATAGTAGTCCAAATAACCAAATATGAAATTATAAATTACTGGAGTAAATAACTGACCTTTTTGTGAAATCGTCACTGACCTATATTTGAAGTTCATTGACATTGTTTTAATTGTTGCCCAAAAGTAAGTGTAAGACTTGTGTTGACGTGTTTCAAACTTCTGATATGTGAACCTTAGTTTATTGTCGAATAGGCACAGGCAATTATCATTAGGATGGCAAATGGCTTCATTGCTTCATAATGCTGTCAAAATTCTGAGGATGTATATTTGTGTCTAACAGTAATGATCTTCAATACAGCGTAGGTTATTTTCATCATCTGTGATTGAGCCCTTGCATGAATTTGTTTATTTATTAAATAAAACATCGCTTAAATTTTCTGCTGTATTGTGTTTTCTCTCTGTGATGAAATGATAGCGTCCTCTGGGCTCTGGAATTTCAATCGTCAATGAAAAAGCAGGTCTGTCTAGAACCCAAATACAGTATAAGTAAGGGTGAATATATATAACTCGACTTTGTATTCAAGAGAAGACTTGATAATCCATCATAATCTTACTATTACTAAGGTGTATTTGACAAATGTGGCATTTCAGTAGACATTCCACGTAGCAAGTTTTAATTAAAAGAGAGGAACACTATAGGATGGGAGGAGACACGAAACCAAAAAAGAAAAGCGCAGCGGAAACAGAAACGACACCAAACTGAATGACCAAAGCATTAACATAATAGAAACAAATCAAAAGGGAAGATAACATTAATCTCCATTATATAATAGAAGTAAAACCATTTTTTTTCAACTAGATATAGCGTTTTCTATCATCCGTGAGCCACCTGCCATGACGTGTCCGGTCAAATAAATGAAAGTATGCTCGGCGCTGCAGTGAACGCAAACATCTAATCAAGATAAATTCAGAGGTTGTATAGGGGGAAATCAGGTAATATTGAGCACGTTTTGCTATGTAAAACAATATCCATTTTATGAGTACAGGTAATGAAGCCTTTATTTGCAACCTAACTACAGGAATGTCGGGAGGCCTAATTGCAAATATCAATATCAATATTTAAGGTACACCAATATAACATTAACGCCTATAAGAGATATATATGATAGCATTAAGGAAATATCTTTTAAACTAATGGAGATAAAGCTGTTATTAAGGTATGCTATAAGTTGAAGCCATTAAATACCAGTATCTCTTATTATCAGATATATTTATTATATTTTAAGATATAATTGATTTCATCTAATGACGCCAGTGCTACGTTCATCATACTAATCTAAGTGCATAAATAAAAGCTATTAAATTTAGGGACGTTTTAATTCGTTTTAACATACGACTCTAGTACATTTAGAGTTATCTTTAATCCCATTTAGAGATATTTCCAGTGAATATAATACTGATTCATTTAGAGAGAGGTCTTTTATTCATGCAAATACATCAGTAATTCTTTTAAAGATTTCTTAATTCTATAAAAAAAAAAATCGGTAATTCAGAGACAGCGTTTATCGATTCAGAGATCAAATCTGTAATTTGAATATATCTATACATTTAAATGCATAAATGTTAAGTTGTCTTGTAGAGAGGTGTGATACGGTTCACAATTACCTAATTTCACAGTATATTATTTTAGTGTCTATCTTCATTCTTACTTGGTCGAATTTTCTTGGGATTCCAGAATTTGACAGGAAACATAATGATTGGTACAACACGTGGCACAGGGCATGCTTGTCATACCGGAACACTCAGTCTCGCTCCCACTTTATACAGAGATTCATGATGTCTTCTCTTTTAGTTTGACGTCTTCTCGATCCCTGGTCCTATCTGTTTTTATTGATTTTGGCTTCCGGTGTTGTCATCATGTGTAGAAAGGCATTGCACCTGTTTCCGTAAGGCACATGACTCGATTTAGACAGGTAATGCTGTATATTGATCTCAGATGGATATTTTTAGCATTTTCCGTTGTAAGTGGCCGATAAAATATCAACTTATCAATAACGGTGTTGTATCGAAATGATAATGACTTCCTGAAAGTACAGGGATACATTTCTTTGGAGGGTTTTAACGAAGCAAGGACATGAAACTTACACTCTAATGGCCGAGAGATTGCTAATGGATTAAATGATGACCAGTCCGTAGGAATTATGGTCGTCAATGACGATAAACGACTTACTATTACTGCTGCTCTTGAGAACAAGAGAGAAGTGGAAAGTCTTTTAAACTAATGGCAATGATAACGAAAAACCAAATTTCATTGGCCAAATGGGTTTTTATGCATTATACGTTCTTTTATTAATACGAGTTTTTTGTAAATTATATAACAATCTGCCAATGTCTTGCTTACCCTTTCTAAATGAAGTATATGCCACAAGATACAAAAAAAGATACAGCAACTGAGCCATATTGGTCCTACTTAAGAGTAACAAATGCATGCTTTCAATGAAAGAGCCTAGACTTGCAGCTTGAATCACCATATATAAGTTATATGAACTGCCGTTACAATCCTGCATCTAAATTGTACCGGTACACTGATTGCTTACATCCGGGTTTAAATGTTATCATCGATTTTATTCCTGAAACTCTTTTTGGACAGAGACTATTGGCATATATTGATTAAAAACCCACTATATGGATTAATAGTTCAAGAACTATTAAGCCCATCTGTTTAAACAATGGCATCGTGCGATAACAAGGAAGTCTTTTGTGGTTCTAATTATTTAATGATAAACTGATATAAATACCCGATATCAAAACAGAATCGACAAGTAGCTGACAAGGACCATATATTGATAAAGATGTCTTAATGATAAGTTTGTCCGAAATTTTGAGTTGTAAGACGGGAAGACGGTGTTAGGCCAAATGTTACTTGTGGTGCTTTACGCTTTCGAGAAACAGCATTACTTAATTAACAAATCAAAACAATCTATCATATTTTGATCATATTTCCGTTTTCGTATTATTCATCGACGCAAAAATACAGTTAAGTCAAACAGTGTGCTTATATTCAAGGGCAAGATATCACTACTTTTGTTTTCTATCTTCGAAAAAAAAAATCAATTCATACGGAGTTTGTCATCGCTCTTACGACTTAAAATTACTCAACCAATTTCGGTAAAATCTCTGACAATATTACAAATACTATTATGTGAAACGAAATTATATTTCAGGATGCTACACTTAGGGTCGACACCAGTGTTTCCTTTCAAATAAAAACAATGGATTGCATTGTATTATAAAACAATAGATTATATAGTATGACGATATGACCAAAAGTTTTTTAATGTGCTAAAGGACAGTTTCGCTTATATAGTCATTAGAACATACATTTCCATCGTTCTATGGACTTAAAGAAGAGAAATTAGCACAGAACGTTCGTCTACGCAATGATTGATCATCTGATGTTGTGCATTTTTCACAATCTTGTATGTTAGGATTCATTCTCCAAATCCGAATCATGCATTAATAATGGTGAGTTGTGACCATGATGGATATTAATAACATAACGCAAAACACACCAAACGAATCAGCAGAAAATTAAGTACATGTTTACATATCACGTGACTTTCTTTATGCACCACAATATTTTAAATGTAATTAACAAGATTCGAATATAAACAACGTGCAGTTGAATATAAATCTAAAGGAATTTGTACAATATCAATCTGATATTTTACCATATATAATCATAAACAATATTTGTAACATGATTAGGAAGAGTAAGAACATGAATCACAAGATTTTGGTTTTTTTAAATATTGCAACGTTTAACACAGCGAAGGGAACCGTCTTTTAAGACAACAATATTATCTGTTCGTTGTCATCATGCAATCACGGAAATCGCATTTATATATCATATAGGATTTCGTATTGGTTCTTTGGTCTTGATTTTATGTCGAATATGTTTCAATGTTATTTATTCAGTTAAAACATATTAAACAATACAGCAACATGGTAAAGCTCAAGCCACAAGTACATTATAAAAGAATTTCACTGTTTCAACCATCCGCTATTAAAAATTGTTTTTGTGTGAATGATCTCTATTTTTTCATAGTCATATATTTACACTCATCTTTTCTTCAGCTTAGTAAAATCTGACTGCGTATAAATTAGCGTATACGCAATGAAAAAAGGCTTGGCGGATTGATACCTGTTTCAAATATGGCGCCCTTCTCGCTTCAGCGAGATAACTGTTGGTGACAGCCACTGTTTGGTTCCTTCAACATCTAGACATATGAAACATATTCGGGATCCATTATGTCTGATTATACAACAAAGGGATGCTGGCAAACTTTTTATTACGTGGATGCACATTCAAAATTCTTTGACGGTAAAGTAAAAATGGGGGCTTCTGTTAGCGACCTTCGGCCGCGTCACTACCAGAGAAATGTGTGAATGCGTGTACATAACGACCGTTTTAAATGAATAAAAATGTTGGAAGTGCTGTTAATATCACTTAATTAAAAACTTAAAAGCGTTGAAGAGAAGAAAAATAGTTTTGTTCACTGCGTATTTTATAAATTTACCCATATATCGATGTAGATTCACTGGAACTATATTGTCCTAGTAACTAAGGCCACCTTAGTTACCATCGTAGCAACCCGCTTCGACTGTTTTCTTCTTTGTATAGCATTTGTACATTATATATGATGTAAATCTAAAGATTGTCCTTCAATGAAGATAAATAGATCGCAGAACTATTGCTCACGCGGAAATGTCCACACCGCATTCAGTTTAAAGGATAATAACGCGAAAATTTCCATTCGCGAAAATTTCCACTTTTGCAGTACAATCATAGTTACAACAACATAAATAAAACTAGTAGCTTTAACAATATATATTCATTTATATCAGTTGATACCAAATGTTTTAAAAACAAGGGATGGATATAGGTTAATCATTCTCCGAATAATCCATTTTAAACGCAAGTAATGTATTAACAAATATATGTTATATTTGCATAAGCTCATCACGAAAATGAATTTTGGTTTCTTTACAAAATTATTTTTAATTTAATTCTAAGTATTGTCTACCAGAATCGTACTCCTCAATATCAAGTAGAGTGTTGGGAATTTGCAAGCTGTTCAAATATGAATAATTAAACTATATTTAGAGGTTGATTGTTAACAAAACAAAAGGTGAAGTACTGATCAATAAACACTCTTTGTTAGTGAAGTTATTGATCTATGTCGCATTTCATTTCACAGGTAAGTTCCCGAATAGTCCTGTAGTCCTTGAATCCCATTGTTTATTCCAAATCCAGACCATGCCAATATCCTAAAACAATGCGGTTTTTCAAATATTTCTAATCCTTTCTTTAGGTTGGTAAGTGTGGATTGAGAAAAGATTCATGTAGCACAACCAAATGTGAATCGAGTCATTTC